AACAAGTTTATCCATTTTATATTGCAATTTCCTTGCTGCATTTTGAGGCTAACCTTATCTTTGTTTTGTAGACCTATTGGCTAATTGATTTTTTTTTTCTTTAATTCAGGATCTAAAATGTCCACCGACGCGCAGAGAGTTGATGACAGCCCCAGCACGAGCGGGGGGAGCTCCGATGGAGACCAGCGGGAAAGTGTTCAGCAGGAACCCGAGAGAGAGCAAGTGCAGCCCAAGAAAAAGGAGGGGAGAATATCTGGCAAAACAGCGGCTAAATTGTCAACTAGTGCTAAAAGGTACCACATCGTGTTAACCTTTAAGTTTTAGTGTTGATTTATCAAATTCCGTTCTGTTTTTCTGTTGCATGTAAACATTTTTCTGGATTGTGAATCATGAAGTTCGTGGATTCCCACATGCCCCCCACCCTCCCTACAACCTTTAAGAGCATCCGTTTTTTCCCCTTCATGTTTTCAATTGTAAGGCATATGAACTTAACTTTTTAATTGGGTTGCCATACTTGTCGAGTTGAAGGGATTTCTTGATCTTTCGTCATTGTACAAGATCCTGGCTATTAAACTATTATCACACATATGGTACTAAATATTGCCCCCATTCTACTGGCTCTCCCGTTCTACTTTCTTGATCAAGCCCTTGGATGCACGCGAAATTTCCATTTTGATCAAGTCCGGTTTTTGTTGTTTCTATTTCTTCTGCTTTTTGTGTCATTGGAGAGTTCATTGTGAATAATTCTTAAAGTTTTATCCTGTCTTAGTTTCCTAGTATTACTGTCACAGAAATAACGTTAAGTGGGTAGCTTTAAAGAATTGGAATTAACTCGACAGTAATGGGCTATGGAATTCTTTAATTTCATCCATTTGTTGCTTCATTTTCCATGTTTGTGAAATTTCTACTTTTCTTTCTGTTACTGATTTCTAGTTTCATTCTGTTGTGTCAAAGAAGATACTTTCAGTGACTCTATTGTTTCCCCCCCCCGCCCCCTTCTTTCACCTTTTACTTAGCAGTGTCTTTGGGTATTAAGTGTTATTAGGCGGCATTGAGTTGGTTCCAACCCATAGCAACCCTGTGCACAGCAGAATGAAACCTTGTCTGGTCCCGTGCCGTCCTCACAGTTGCTCCTACCTCCACGCCCAGTGTTGCAGTCAGGCCATGCCACTGAGGACCTCCCTTTTCCTCGCTGTCCCAGCACTAGAGGGTCTTCTGAACAGAATAGAGTTGGAGGATGCTTTATTATTCACCCAGCCAGTCTCTGCATAACAAAAATTTAGAACATGAAATTAGATACCAGCATTGCATTGTACCAATTCAAGTCTCCAAGGATGTTTTTCAAATCCATTTGATGGGAATGTTAGGAAAGTAAGGTATATGCTAATCGCTGAGAACTTCATGTGATTGGGACTAGAACTTCTGATATGTTGTCTTTAAATATGGCTCACAGTAACTTAAGGAAAAGTGCTTTTCACAGCACAAGAATATGCTATAATTATAGCGTTAACAACCTGGTATAGTAATTGTTAAAGATTTCAGTTTTCAGGTATTACAGAAAAATGATAAAGAAAATCATTTAAATGGGTATTTTATTTAAATAATAAGTTTGTTTTTTTATACTTAGATGGCAAGAAGATTACGTATATGAGGAGGTTTAAAAGTTTGTGGGAAAGGCCTTTTAATTTATTCTTTTTTCATTGTCAAAGTAGAATTTATTATAAGACATT